AGTTAAAATTTTGAAATACTCCAACAAGCTCTTTATATTTAATACTTAATTTTACTACTCCCAAAAAATATTTATAATTTTTGTCTATCTTTTATTTAAACTAGCTTTTCTTTAGATTATTTTATTGTTTTTCTACATTGAAAATTGAAACACTTTGAATGCATTTAATTATAGAGATCGTCTCATGTTTAAAGAGTCTCTTGAAAATACTCTAAGGTTCCGTCAGAATGTTGGTATATTGATTAGTTATCCAATTATGAGCCTGTTTGGTACAAATTCTCATTTTCTACAGTAAATCAATTCTCATTTTCAACCACATATTCTTCAATAAAATAATTTTCCGTCACATCAATACTTTTTTCTTCTTTTTCAACCACACATTTCCCATCATATCACTATTCAAAAATCAATTATTCCCCCAAAAATCCCTACCAAACACACCTTATATCTTCTTCTGTAAGCATTATAATTTATTTCATCAATTTCTACCAAAGTCCATCATGTACAAGTCGAGACGGTATACAATTGGAACCGGTCATGTCAATTAATTTATAAAAAAAGATATTTTTGCAAATATGAAACGTAAATTACACTATCAATATGACGAAATTCTGTTAAAAATAAGAAGAATTTTCACTCGTTAGTTTCAACATGTTAGCCCCCTACGATACTCCTGGTGTTTTTTTATTTTATTTTCTTACTATTAATTGTGACTTGATTGCAACTTTTGAAATAAATGATTACATCTTTTTTCTGTATTAGCATGAAAATCAATAGATGGTTCATATAAAATAAAAAATGAATCTCTCTATTGTTAGTGACTCTTAGCCTACGTTTAGAGGTGTCAATGCCGACTCGGCCCAGTGACACACGAGCTCGAGCTCGTGGCTCGTTTGTAACGAGCCGAGCCCGAGCTCGGGTATGTTACAAATACTCGAGCTCGGCTCAGCCCATGAGCTTGTGGCTCGTGTGCGGCTCGTGGGCCGAGCCGAGCTTTAGCTCGTGGCTCGGGTAA